AATTTTAGAAAACTATCTTCAGTAAATTTAATAAGGAGCAGTATAAACCTTGTTTTGTGTGTTTTGTTTCATTTTGTAAATACCAAAGGCTGAGAAAAATCCTACTTGTTAAGTTCCAGTTTTTCTATGTGGTAAGGAACGATAAAAATGTATGTATCTTTTTTTTCTCACACCAAATTGCTTTTTCATAGTTTAAAATCTTTGTTGAATATTGACTTACTATTTTTAAAAGCTATACTTTTTCAGATAATTATATCTGCTTTCTGTCAGATTCTATCTGAAATTTAAAAACATGCTGAATTATCATAATACTGGAAACTTAAAAGTGTTCTTATATTCACATACTCTTTCACATCTCAATGTGATGTGTAAAGAATCCTATTTGTATATTTATTTGAGTAATTAATTACTAAATATTATTTTATATCAAGAGTGTCACAAAAAAGCCTAGAACCACTAAATAACTAAAAGTTTGAAAGACATCAAAATGATAGATTGAATACCTGTAGCTTTGTAATTTTTTGCCAATTTTTAAAAGTTGATATTTAGTTATGGTTCATTTGCCTGCATTACAAATATAATTATTCATATAAAATAAGTGTGTTATAAGCAATCTCATTATGATATTTCAAAGATCCTTCTGAACATTTAGTCCATCAACCTAGGTGAAAATACTCAAAAACATTAATATGTTAAGATGAGGAAAGGGGTTCTATTCCCGCTCAGGCATCAGGGAGTAGTAGACAGCAAAAATAACTACATCAGAAATGGAAACATTTTGCTAGAACTTTGTCATTGAGATAAAGTGAAACTTGGCATATGTCACTGAAACATTGTCAGTATTGGTAACATAGGACACCACATGAAATGTTCTATCTTTTACCTGTGGTGAAATCTCTCTTGACTCCTTCATGTGTTTCTTACATGGCTTAGTGAGGACCATTTATGGATGTTTTTCACCTTTTGAGACTATCCCTGTGGAGATGCCAAGCAATTTGTTGATCGTCCCTACAGTATTGAATAGCACAATTACATGCCTGGAAGTTGTTTTTTAATTGTTATGGACCATTGGTATTCACCTTGTTTTCTTCTTCTCCTTCTTCCTCCCTCCCTCCTTCTCTCCCTCCCTCACTTCCTTCCATGTTTCACTCTTAAGTTTACTTTTGTACTAGACAGGACTCCTGACTGCAATACTGTATCCGTAGGCAGCCTGTCAACAGTCCTCATTACACAATGTCTCCTCAAGTGAGTGACACTGTAGAAATGTGTGGACACTGTCTTACTATTTGAAAACTTTTAGGGAAAAAACTTAAAATAATTTATTTCTTCTTTGATTGGCTTCTCATGTTGTTACTGGTCCGAAGTCCATATACCAACACTTTTAAGAGGCCCAAACTCAAATCATCAGAGTTTGGAGTAAGGAAAGTTTTATTGATCTAGAAGATGCCAACTGAACAGATGAGAGCTTGAACTTTCAACTCCATCTTAAGAAAGTATGGAGTTCAGGCTTCTTTTTTTGTCAAGGGAAGGGAAAATGGGAGCAGCATTTTGGAAAATCAAGCCTGGAGCAGGATTCTGCTAATGATTAGGATATCTACATGAAAGACAAAGAAGGTGCTATTAGCCTGAAGGCCATGAGAACAATGCAGGCTTGAATAATATTAAGTCAGAGAACCTGAGCATTTCACTCTGTTGCAATATGATTTTTTTTTGTCCTAAGGAACAGAAATTAGTTACTGTTACTTCTCATTTCATAGTGAGTTTTCATCATCTGTCCTTTCACAATTTGTGTTTTTCTTTACAGTTAATTGCACAATTTCAAATATTCTTTGTTGTGCAGACCCACTCCAATATAGATATATTCCATTAAAACAAAGTTCCCTCTGGTGACTCCTTTATAGCCACATGCTTCGTACTGGTCTCAGCCTATTAATAGTCAATATTGTGCTGGACCAGCCTTCGTGGTTTTTATGATTGATTGGGTATCCCTGGGCCACACAGTGACGTCTGGGTGGTGGGGGAGAGGGAAGGAAAGCTGAGGGGAGGAGAGGGGGAAGGTGAGGAGAATAGGGACCTGTGGCAATCAAAGCTTAAATCTGTCACTTGTATTACAAAAAAGAAAAATGGCAGGGTCTACAGTACACTGTACCCACTTCCTCCTCTTCTACCATTGTTTGTAACCCTTGGCAATCACTAATCTGATTCTATCGCTCTTTTCTTGTCATTTGAAGAATATTTATGAATAAGGTCCTACCACTTGCAATATTTGGCTTTTGCCACTCAACCTAATTCTCTGGTGATTCATTTGTCTTTTTGTGTGTAAATCACTTGTTCCTCTATTGTTGCTGAGTAGTATTCCATGGTATGGATGATTCAGTTTCCTTAGTCATTCACTCATAGACAGGCATATGGGTTCTTCCCAGTTTTCGACTATGATGAATAAAACTTCCAGTGACATTCACTTAGAGATGACTATCTAATATAAATTTCATTCTCTTGGGATGAGCTCCCAAGAGTATGATTGGTAGGTATGTTGTTTTAATTTTTACAAAGTGCAAATATCAAGCTGTTGTTTTATAGGTTATGCTTTCAGTGTCATGTTGTTTTTGGTAAACAGTCTGTCTGAAGTGCCAGGGGGTGTTCCCCACTGGCCGAGATGGCAGCAGGAGGAGGTTCTTACACTGAGTGTATGGAAAGCTAGAAACATCAATGGATAGGACCTGAATGTGAGAATCCAGCAAGGTAATTGGATAGAGAAAAAGCCCTTCTCCCTCTATCAAACTGTGGACCAGGGGAAGGCAGGTGCATGTGCCATAAAAGTCAAAATGACACAAAGGGAAGTGCTGACCAAAGAGGCCTGTCAATGTAGCCTGGGAAAAGAAGGGATTGGTTTGGAGGTGGACCCATGCAAAGTACGCAAGAGTGGGAAGATGATTGGTCATTTTGAGAAGGCACCTGGTCTGTTTCACACCCAAGTCAATATAATCCCAAGGAAACAAAGAGGCTTGGGTTTGTGGCTCTTTTGCTGCTGACCTGCAGTTACACAGGGCACTCACCTGTTCTCTCCATGGGCCATGTGGCCCTAGCCAGTCTCACTCTCTCTTGGCCATCTGGTGATATACTGGCTGGTGTGTTTGTGCACTCTCCTGACAGTGTGTGACGTGTGACTCTGCAGCCCTAGCAGCTGTGTGACTCATGGCTGTGCAGTCTGCACATGCAGGCTCCAGGTGGGAGACTAAAATGAACACCAGCCAGGAGCAAACTAAGCTACCTGGGTGGGGCTTCTGACAGTTTAGCAGCCGCCTGTGGTCTCCAAAGGACTGCACTTCGAACTGGAGCAGAAACTCTGGACACTGGGTTTTGTCTTGGTCTTGCCGAAGAGGTGGGCTTTGAGACAGGAGTTCACCATGCTCCCAGGTCATGCAGGACCCGAATAAAATCTTTCCTTTTGCACCAGCATCTGCCTCACGTGTTTGGCTTTTTGGTGACAGGCCACCAAACCCCTCCTTTTGTTTAGTTACACCATCTATAAACTCTTTGTTTCTTTGTAACAGAGTGTTTTGTTGACTGCTAAGGTTTTTATTTATCAGCAGCTCTGAGAAATTTGATTATGATGTGCCTACACGTAGTTGTTCACCTGCTGTTTACATGCTGTTTGTCAATATGCTTTGATCTGAAGATTTTACATTTTTATCGAATTTGAAAATTTTCACAATATTTTATTTAAATAATTGCCTACTTCTTATTTTGACTTTTCCTGTTTTTTTTTTTCTCTCTAGGCCCCATAAAGAGGGAGATTTTGGTTTTTCAATTGACAATATGTGTTTATTACCTTGAATGAACCCATTTATATAAAACCTATCATGCATTCTTTTAAAAAATTTCTTTATTTTAATTGTCATTCAAGTATACTTTCTGTCTTTTTAATACCCTTTACCATGTTAGGCACTACAGATACAACTATGAATGTGATATTCAGAGTCTCTGACTTTCTAAAAATACATGTCTAGTGCAAGAAAAATGCAATTGGCTAAATGTGAAGAATACTAATAATCTGATTGGAAATTAAATACAGGTTAGTATCAGAAGTATAGCCATCTGTTAGTGATATATTTTTATCATACAAATGGCAAATAGAGTATGAAAAGATGTTCAGCATTACTAACCAATGAGGTATCATCTCACATCTGTCAGAATGCCTATTATCAATATATCAATGAATAACAATTGTTGGTGAGGAAGTGGAGAAATGGGAACCCTTGTACACTGTTGGCGGGAATACAGATTGGTGCAGCCACTCTGGAAAACATTATGGAGATACCTCAAAAATTGAAGATGGATTTGCCTTTTGACCCAGCAATCCTACTTGGGAATATATCCAGAGAAATCCAAACCACTACATCAAAAGAACATAAGCACCCCTATGTTCATTGCAATGTTATTTACAATGGCCAAGTTACGGAAGCAGGACAAGTGGTGCCCATCAACAGATAGGTGAATAAAACAACTCTGGGTAATTTATACAATGAAATACTACTCAGCCATAAAAAAGAAGACAATTTTACCCTTTGTGACAGCATGGATGGACTTGGAGAACATCCATGTTGGACTAGGGGAAATAAGCCAATCAGAGAAAGACAAAGAGCATATGATTTTATTTATATGTGGACTCTAATGAACAAACTGAACTAACAAGCAAAATAGAGACAGATTCATAAATAGAGAGCAGGATAGTAGCCTGGGTGGGAGGAGAGGTTAGAGGGTGGAGGGGTCGAGCAAAAAAGGAAAAAGGACAACAGTGTGGTGATTGTAGAGGAAGGGGGGTATAAGGTAGGTAAACAGTGATGGAAAAATATGCAATAAATTTTTTAAAAGAAAATTATGTACAATTCTTTTTATTTCTAGGCTTATCATACATCTATCTTTCTCATCCCATGGAGGTAACAGTATAAGTTTAAAGCAATGCCAGTTATTGCACACATTGGCTAATACACCAGTTGCTAGTGTATCTTACAGTGAATTTTAAATAGCATATTTGCACACATTACCCACGTTCTATTTAGGGCATTCTTCACCTCCTTGTTCCGCAAACTGTAAATCAATGGATTCAGCATGGGGATGACCAAAGTGTAAAATAAAGAGGCCATTTTATCAGTATCAAATGAATGACTAGACTGGGGTCTCACATACATAAATAATAGGCTACCATAGAATATGACAATGACTGTCAGATGAGATCCACAGATAGAGAAAGCCTTGTGCCTGCCCTCTGCAGAGTTCATCCTGAGGATGGCAACCACGATCAGAATGTAGGACATAAGGACTATCAGAAGAGAGTAAGTCAAAGTAAAAGCTGAAAAAAGCAGGATGATCAATTTAATTTCATGTGTGTCTGAGCAGAGCAAAGATATCAATGGCATACTATCACAGTAGAAATGCCTAATGACATGATAGCTACAAAATGATGAAATGAAAATTTTTATGGTGGTCAGTAAAGATAAAAAGACACTGTATAGGTAGGCTATAGCCACCAGCAAGTGACATAGTCTTTGTGACATGATAACTCTGTAGAGCAGAGGGTTACAGATGGCCACATAGCGGTCATAGGCCATTGCTGACAGAATAAGATTTTCACTAGTGATAAACATACTGAAGAAAGTGAGTTGGATAGCACACCAGTTATAGGAGATTGTATGCTGATTTACAGCTAAATTTACTAGCATTTTGGGTCCTACAGCAGTGGAACAACTGAGATCACTGAAAGCCAGGTGTCTGAGAAAGAAGTACATGGGTGTTTGTAGTCTGGAGTCTATCTTGGTAAGGATGATCAAGCCCAGGTTACCCACCAAGGAGACCATGTATACAATGAAGAAAAGCACAAATAATGGAGCCTGCAGCTTCGGGAGGTCCATGACCCCCAGTAGAATAAATCCATTTAACACTGTTAGATTGTGTTTGTCCATCCAGGCTACCCAGGAAATCTGTAACAAGAAAAGATGTAAAAATAATCATTAGCTCTCACAAGTTATGACTGAGATTACCATTGTAACCAGTGATTAAAGGCTTAAATGGTTCATTCATAGCTTGTTGCATTAACTGGCTACTCTCTAACACTTGGCAGCCCAATTCTCTGTCTCTCTCTCATCTCAGTGAAGCTCGACAGGTTCCTTACACCAGACATGAAAAGCACAAAGAACAAAACTAAAAATAGGTAAATTGGACTTTATCAAAATTTTTGAAACACACTTTTGTGCACCAAACAATGAAAAGATGACCCACACAAAGTAAAAAATGCAAATTATTTATCTAGTAAGGGCTTAGTAGGTAGAATATCAAAGGACTTTTGCTACTCAACAACAAAAATGAACAATCCAAATTTAAAAACAGGCAAAAGACTTTAGCAGAAGATTTACATATTTCTTACAGAAGATAAACAAATAGCCAAAAGCACATGAAAAGATGTTCATTTCTGGTCATTAAGAAAATGCAAATCAAAACCACAATGAGATACTCCTAGGATGGCTATAAGAAAAAAAAATGACAGACGCTGCAAAGCTGGCAAATGTCAGGAAGGATTAGAACCTTTAAACATTTTTTGTAAGTAATGTAAAATAAAATAGCCACCATGAGAAGAGTTGTGCAGAATGGCATCAATCACAAGAGTCAAAAATAGAAACAACCCAAAAGTCAGTGAACTAGTGAATATATAACAAGTATCATGTAGATAAAATAGAATATTAATAAGCTATAAAAAGGGAAAAGTATTGATACATGCTATAACAAGGATCAGGTGTTAAAGCATCTAATGGTAAGTGACACAAATGAAAGTCATGTATTTTATTATTGTGCAATTGCATCATATGAAAAACCCAGAGTAAGCATATTTGTAGAGATAGAAAGCAGAAAATATATAGCTTGTTCAGGAACACTGAATTAATTCTTAAGAAACAACACACTTGGGTGCATTTTTTTTTACTGGATATCCAAAAAATTATAAATCTCATGGAGTAAATGAGTTTTAAAAATTGTATTCTTTTCTAAATCCCTCCTTGTAAATACCAGTTGCTCTGTATGTGAGAAAAGATATTTTTCTCATCATTTTAAGAGTTGTATGTAAAGCGCAAAACCTCTTTTAACATTGTAATACTTTCATATATTTTATTTTATCTGATTTTTGAAGGTGACTTGATTCTGATCTTTTAAATCTGTTTTCTTTTTCTTCTCAAGACTTTTCAAACATGTAAAAAATACAATGGGCAGAACCTAGCACTGGGCATTTGCTATAAAACTGCCCTAAATATAGAGCTCACAGAAGTTGTCATTCCTCAGTCGTGCCTCCCTCCCTGTGCAAAATACAGCTTTCGACATTAACGTAAGTGAGACTAAATGAATTCCAGAATGAGAAATCAGTAAAATTTGCATTTACATGCATATATTTAAACACCTCTGTGATTTTTCAGTTGAAATAAAGGGAGTTTAAAAATGAGCCACTAAATAAATATGGAGTGGAAAAGATATATCAATTTTAGGCAAAATACACATTCCTGCTTACACAATCTGTATTGGTGCATATTTTAATCTTGCTTCCAGTACCCATTAGATGTGTATCCAGTCATTTAAAAGATAATTTGATGACATTTCAAACACTTTTCCAAGGCTAAAGAGAGTACGCACTCATAGGAGACATGATGGTGGGATGGTGGTGCTAGGCAGCGAAATCCACACTTTGATATTTTGCATTGGCCTCACCTCCCATTACAAGTGGTGATTTGCACATGATATTGATGCTTTTAATGATAATTGTGAACTTGGAAAACACATGGCATTTTTGATAATGACAATTGCAAGAATTTAAAAGATATTGATATAACCATGTTCATTTAGAGGTAACTGGAGAACATTATGGATATGTTATTATTTGTGGTTAAAAATTCTGAAACATACCCAACTAACTACAGATGATAATATCAAATTTGACATCTGGATTATGGGTCCAAGTGTAAAAACACGAGTATCTTAAGGTTTTGGGGTAGACTTTTTTTTTTAAGATTTTATTTATTTATCTTTAGAGGGGAAAGGAAGGAGAGAGGGAGAGAAACATCAATGTATGGTTGCCTTTCATGTGTCCCCTGCTGGGAACTGGCCTGCAGGGAACCGGCCTGCAACCCCAGTATGTGCCCTGACTGGGAATCGACGGGAGATTGTCTGGTTCGCAGTCCCGTGCTCAATCCACTGAGCTGCACCAGCCAGGGCCTGGGGGAAGACTTTTTAAATGGATATCCAAACTTCCTTTCAGAAGTTGATTTTTTTCTTTTTTACTATTCCAAGAGTACAACCACATCAACATAAATGTCTAACTTTTGTAAAAAATCGTAATAAAAAGGTATTTAAAACAGCATACTTACCTGGAAACTTCAGTTATTGAAGCAGGTTGTTAAAGCTATACAGCTAAATGCCCGAGGTGGGGTATTCAAGACAGACAGTGAAAGTGGGAGAAACAGGTACCGTCTACTCACCTCTAATGAGGAATCTCTCTGTGCTCCTCATGTACTCTTAACATAACCCAGTAAGAAGAATTTATAGGAATCCTTGGTCCTTTGAGATCCTCCCTGAGGAGAAAGGACACAATTTGTTAATTATGCTTAAAGAATTTGAATGCTTCAAACAAAGCCAGTCAGATAGCTGCTAATTATCCAGGATATCTTTATATGCCCATACAAATAAGATTACATACTTTTCCTCAGTTTCTCTTGGTTAAGTCTTTTCTAGTGCAATACAAACATCTGCAACCAAAACATTATTTCTGCAAGAGGGGAGTTTGAGTTTTTCTTGTAAGCTTTGTCTCCTTTAAAAAAGGAGTGAGAACATAATAGAGAAATGGTTGAACATTTATTGCATTGTTTTAAAATTTGCAAGGGAAAATATATGTGTAGCCATTTCCCCCTCATTTGTGGTGTCTTTTGCTTATTATTAAAGTATAATACATGTATTAGCAAATGCATACAACATGAATAAATTTTTACAAAATTAACACATCTGTGTAGCCAGAATCCAGATTAAACAGAAATTACAACCACCAACATAAATAAAATATTATCAGGACTCAAAAATCATTCTTCATCCTCTTTTCTATTATAACTATATCTCACACCTCTCCCCACACACCAAAGTAACTACTACTCTGACTTCTAACAACATAAATTATTTTCACCTATGTTTGTTACTTCACATAAAGGAAATTCTGTTCATGTGTTTTCTGTGTGTCTGGGCTTTTCACTCGATATATTGTCATAGGTATTTCTAGATTGTTTATTCTTATTTTTGTGTACAACTCCATTTTATAAATATATCACATTTATTTATCCATTATTCTCTGATATAGAAATATATCACATTTATTTATCCATTATTTATCCATTATCTCTTTATTCTCTTTATTTATTTATTAAATAATTTATCCATTATTGGAATTGGTTCCAATTTGGAGGTTTTATGATTAGTGGTATTATTAACATTCTACTCAATTTTATACTTTGAAAATGATTTTTAATATCTTTGAGCATTTACAAAGTAATAAAATTTGGATTTATTAAAGATAAGTTATAAAAATATTGTCCTGATATACATGAGGGTTCCCTGATAATGGTAATGAAACACTACCCTCACAGCCCTTGTGTTCACATCAATATTTGATCTATACTGGCTTAATCTTGAATGTATTTTCATTTGGGCATGGTCAATACACTAAAATTGCTGAGTTGCAGCATTAGTGAATACTACCAAATGGATTTTCAGAATGTTTATACAAATGTGCATCACCACTGGTAGTGAAAATGTTATCATACTTAGTTAGCTAGTTATCAATAAGGAAGGAAGCAAAAGGAATTAGATATTGTTGAGCCTAATGGGCTGTGAAGCATAAGCTTGCTGCACCAGGAAGCCACATCTTCCCAGAAACCCGAGGATCACACATTGCATCCCGGATTAGCACCCTGTCTTCCCCTCTCTAGGACCAGATGGTTGGAGGAAGCAGTGGGAGGTGAGCACATACATGCACAGTAAAAGTCACAGTGGGGCAGAGGGACCTGCTTGACCATAGAGACCTGTCAGTCGAACCTGGGAAAGTGGTCACTTGCCTAGAGGGTGGACCTATCAGGAGCCCGGAAACACTAGGGAAATTGATTGGTTTTTTTGAAAAAGCACTTGGTTCTGCCCAAGCCAAATATAATAAAACACAGCTCAACAGAGAAGCTCTCTCTAGCTTGGGAGCACATACTCACCCTGTAAGTTTGTATGTTTTCTCTGTAGTGACTGCGCAAGACTAGCAGTGACATGGACTCCAAACACAGGTTTTAGGTGGGTGTCTGGGTAGAGCAGTGGCCAGGGACAGTGCCTAGCTACTCAGATGGGGACTGAGATTGCTTAGCAGCCAACTGTGGGTTCCAAAGGACTAAGCTTTAATATGGAACAGAAACTGGACACTGGCTTTTGTTAGGACCTTGCTGAAGACATGGTTGAACTTCTTCCATGGTGGCATGGACAAGGATGGGACACAGGGGTGTCCTTCTATTCCCACCCAAATAAATTTTGCCACACCATAAGCTCCTGTGTGTGGGTCCGTGAAATGTTTTTCTCTTGATCCCATGAAAGAACCCCACTTTTACTGGAAACAGAAATAGTTATAATTGCTTGATATCTTGTTAAGATTTGACATTTTCATTGTTTTCTTTGTCTCCATTCTGCATGATGTGCATGGGTGTTGTGGTTTTAGTTTGCATTATCCTAATGTTAAATGAAATTGAGAATGTTTTTATATGTTCAATGGGATTTTGATATTTTCTTTTGAAAAGTGCTCATGCATGTCTTTTATCATTTTTATATTATGTTTTGTGTTGACTATTAATTGATTTGTAAGTTATTTTTATATTTTTATAAATCCTGTTAAATATCCATGTCTAAATAT